TTTTTGTGTCACACTTGGAATTTGTTGATGATTCTCTCTTTTTTTTCATGAGAGAGAAGAGAAAAATGTAGTAATTTACAAAAGATAATGGAAGTATTCAGAGTAGTGTGCTTGGACTAAGGGTCAATATGAAGAAAAAGTTGATGTGGGTATAAATTCTTCTCATAATAAATTTTCTAGATGGACAAGGATGTTGGGTGTGGTGTGAGAGAAAGGCATTTAAAGTATTTAGGTCTTCCTTTGGGTGGGAATCCTTTATCTTTAGCATTTTGGGATCCTATTGTGGAAAAAGGTAATGAAACAGTTAGATACGTGGAGGGGGCTTATATTTTCTAGAGAGGGTAGATTAAATTTGGTCCAATCAGTTTTGGCCAGTAGTCCTACTTATTTTCTTTCTCATTTTAGGATGCCAATGAAGATTGCAATGTGAAGTAAAAGATGATGATGGATTTTTTATGGGAAAAAAATGGTTAAGGGTGGAAGGATTATTTGATGAATTGGGAGGTGGTATCAAAAAAGAAAGCCAAAGGTTGTCTTTCAGTAGAAAAAGAGGAAGCAAGAAATATAGTTCTAGTTGGTAAATTGCTTTGGAGATTCCCATTGGAACAAAATTCACAATGATATTCAGTTATTAAGAGCAAAAGTATGGACTACAAGTCAGTGAATGGGATGGTAAAAATAGTGTTTTGAAAAGCGTGCCTAGACACTCGCCTAGGCGAGAAGCGAGGCGAAGCGAAGGCCTCTCGCCTTGAGCACACCAGGCAAAGCGAAGATGGCTAAAGCGAGAAAAAATCAGAAAAGAGAGCGCTTTTCACTTAAGCGAAAGGCGAAAAAGCGAACGCCTTAGTCATGCGAGGCGAAATAGTTTTTTATTTTTACTGTACACCGTTGGATTGTTTTATTTTTATTGTAGACCGTTGGATTGGGGCAATTGAAAAAAAAATTATAAGATGCCAATACACGCAATTACCCCCTTATCCCATAAATATAAAACTCAACCCTAATTTTCAGATCAAACCATCGCTGCTGCTACTTCCCAATCATCGCTGCTGCTGCTCCTTCCTAGGCAATTGATAGTGCAAATCTTCCCAGTTGATCGCTGGTGCTGCTCCTCCTTCCCAGACGATCGATAGTGTTGATCTTATCGATCAATCGCTGTTGCTGCTGCTCCTTGCCAGACGATCGCTGCTGCTCTAGGTTTGTCTCCTCTTTTTCTTTTCTCTTCTGTATCTCTCCTTCTCCGCTTCTTCTTCTTTCTGATTCTGATTTTTTTTCTGCTTCTGCTTTCTATTTTTTTTTCTTCTTTTTCTTCCTCTTTTTGCTTCTTCTTTGTTTTTTTCCTGCTTCTTTTTTCTACTACTACTGCTGCTTTTCTTGTCTCGTTTTTTTGCTTCTATTTTTTTTTCTTCTTTCTGCTTCTGCTTCTTTTTTTCTTGTTTCTTTGCTTCTATTTTTTTTTCTTCTTTCTGGTGCTGCTACTCCTTGCCAGACATTCTAATTGGTTTTTTTTGGCTCTCTGTTTTTTTTTTCCTTCTTCTTTGATAATGAATGCTCCTATTTCTTTAATGTTTATATAGCTGATTTTAATGTTGCTGCTTCTTCCGAATGCTGTAATGCATAGTTTTGATTTTTGCTAAATGCTGATTTTTGCTGAATGTTGTAATGCATAGTGCTAATTTTTGCTGAATGTTGTAATGCATCGTCCTGATTTTTGCTAAATGTTGTAATGCAGTGCTGTTTTAATTTAAATGTTTATGGTTTTACTTGCATTTAAATATTTAGTATATATAAAATTAGAACTTAGATGTGTAAGTAATTAAACTAAAATATTTACTTTTTTTTTTAACTGTTCGCTTCACTTCGGTAAAGCGTTTCGCTTCGCTTCTTGCTTAGGCGTTAGGAGTCTTGATCGCTTTGGTTTGCTTTACGCCTTAAATAACACTGGGTAAAAGAATAGACTGGAAAACTTATTGCTACCAATAGAAGTTTATTTCTCTAGGGCTTTCACAGTTTTCTCGATGTTCTCAAAATGTTACATTCTTGGTGGGTAAAGGGGAGAGAGATCAATTTTAGAAGGATGTTTGGGTTGGGTCATCATCTTTTTCTTGTATATTCCCGCACCTTTACCATTTACCTCATTTTCATGGGCACTCTATCACATCAATGAGTAACCATTCTCATCTATCAGTTTCTTGGGTTTTGGGTTTTGTACACATCTTGGTGACAGAGATACTACAGAATTAGTATCACTTCTATAATTGATTAATGATTTTAATTAGAGTCAAGAATCAAGTAACAAAAGGAAGTTGATTCTTAAGTCTTTGGGGTTTTCTCATGTAAATCTTGTTTTGATAATCTTATTGATGATACTTCATATCTCGTGTTTAACTTTGTAATGATTTGGAAGGCTACAGCGTCTCTTAAGATGCAAGTTTGTGCATGTACTATAGCTAAGATTAACACGAATGATGTGCTTTAGAGAATTATGTCGCTTCTTTGCATTTCTCCACAGTGGTGTGCGGATGTGTGCATGTGCTAGTGAAATGTTGATCACCTTTTTTTTTTTGCATTGCCCTATTGCTCTATTGTTGTGATTTAAACTATTTCAAGTAGCATTTTTGAGATGGGCGACTCCTGGGACCATCTCTTCCATGATTGTGGAGGAATTAGAGGGATTGAAAGGCATAAGAAAAGGGATACCCTCTGGCATTGTGCAATTTTTACAAAAATCTGGATAATTTGGTTGGAGAAGAACTCTAGAATTTTTGAAGATAAAGAGGTGAAAAAAGAATTATGAGATCACATTTACTTTTTGGCTTCATTGTGAGCCTCCAACTAAGAACTTTGATGGTATTTAACTCTTTTGTATATTGGCGAATTAGAGAGTTTTATGTAACCTTAAGTTTTTTGAGTTGATGTTGCTTTCTTTATTTTATTGGTTGGACATCTTGTCCAACCTACCAAATCTTTGATGTAATATTTTCAAATCAATAAAATTTATGCTTCCAATCAAAAAAAACTAGTGAGACTTTTGTTTAAGTATAAATACTCAAGTTACAACCACTCTAACAGCTTAAATTTTTGGAGTAGAAGGTTGTTTAACAATTTCAATGCCTGTTCTATTCCTTTCGATTAAAGGTATTGTGTTCGTCAATTGCATACCAAAAGTTATACGGTTACTGCGGGGTGCCTTTGTTGAACAGTTTCAAAGTAATTGGAAGGTTGTTGCTTTTTAGTGTACTTTTTCGTTTCTTATTCTGTTTATTGTATTTTGTTTTTCCTTTACCTAAAAGATATCTTGTCTTGTCCACAATATTATTCTCTTCTCTCACTTTTCTGCATTAATAATATGCTTCATCTATCCACACAAAAAAAAGCATGCATCAACTAAAAACAGGCCCTTGAGCCTCATAAGCCAAGCTTAGGCACTTCAGTAATCAAATCACCCTAGCTCCCCATGACATCCATTCAATCAAATATCAAGATTTACCATGAGAGTGCAGCCAAGGTGGGAAGAAAAAAAAGGAAAAGAAAAAAATTTTGACCAAGTCAAAGATAACGGTTAAAAGAACATGTAACGAAAAGATGGTACCAGTTATGGATTTTAGTAAGTTTAACCATTCCTTCCCTAAACAACCTTAATATAGGTATCGCCACAATCAAAAACAAGAAACAGAAATAAATCAATGTGCAGGAAGAAAAGTGAACAAACTGCACAAACAAAAAAAAATTGCAAGTGGAAAAAACAAGGGAGGAAATTTTTCCTCCTCTTTGATGTAATATGCAAAACAATCGGCTATCACTCAATGTCAATCCTCTTTATTTGATGATTGTTAATAAAGGGTGTTGTGGAGGATAACCTAGATGGAAACCTAATTTGCTTGATTCAAACAGTGGTTACCCTTAGACAAGCAAGTTGGGTCAAACAAAAAAGACGAGAAACTATGTTTTGTTAGTAGCTCTAGCTTTTACCATTGAACCCAATGACACTTTTACCAGCATTAGCCTTTTCTGGGATAATTAACATTAATGGGAGTAATTAGGAGTAACAATTCCTGTATCATTCCAACTAAAGAGAAGATAGAGAAAAAGGGGGTGGGGGAGAGAGAGGGAGCCAAGGCACCACAGCGGTCCCCAGTTTCCACTTTCAACACATAATCAAAGCAGAATGTGCAAAATCATTTCAACATCCGCAATTTACCAAACTAGATATCTACAGGGGGGCGTGCACATTCATGGTTATGCATTTACTACATGCCAGCTAGAAGTGCAAATAGCAAAAAAAAGCTGATCACTTCAGCTCAAAGCTCCACTGAAAGCTAACAGATATATATTAGAAATAACGTCATTCTTTTTATGCATACTACAGAATCAAAAAAACTAGCTCATACAGACCTTGAGATTGCTAACAATGGATTGGGCATCAGCAACAGGTGGCTGAAGGGAATATTCTGCAAGAAGAGGCATTAAAGAGGATACAAATGTTGATCTTTCTTGGTGTGCAGCCTGAAAGAACCATAATTGCCAATCTCAATATATTTTTTCAAAAACGATTTGAACCCGATTAAAGAATCGGCCAAGTATCTTTGACATGTTTATTTCAACATCATACATGTCATAAATTAGGTAGTTAGAATAATTACCACAAAACTATAGGGATTTGTATTATAATGCACCAATAATATACAAGCATTCGTATTTTTTAGATTCAACGGATGGATGTGAGCACGCACTAGAGAGATTCTAAGTAAAATAAGTGGAATTACTGGCTTAATTGAGAATAAACGTTATCATAAAACATGATTAAGGGGCACGATTGGCAACGTGAACATGATACCCAAGTGTATGATATTGCACGAGCCTGGGAAGTTAGAAAAAGAAACCTAAAATATGAGCTAGTGCATATGATAAACTTGTGAAGATCAATTTACGTTATCAAACGATTATTTCATCAGAACTAATTCACGTTTGGTTCCATGTCTAGTTGCAATTCAGACATAACAATGACAATGTTTCAGAAAATTTTAATCAGAGCTTGTCTCCATAAGAGTCCCCAAAAACAGGTCAACATACATAAGCTGAGATGAATGATACCTGTAATTGATATGTAAGACGTATATTTTCCTCAATTATGTCTTGTCTGTAAGATAGGGCTTTAGATGCAGCATCAACGAGATCTTGTTGCTGCTGATCAAAGGCCTATAACAAGCATTCAGTTCATACAAACTCCATCAGTTTTAAGGAAGAAATAAAGAAGATGGACTGAAAAAATAGTGGAAGGGGAATTCTGCCCACCAAACGCATATAAGCAATACGCTTCTCCAAAATATATTTCTCATTGCGTACTTGTGCCTCCTATCAACAACGATGATATGTTAGTTACATGGAAGTATGAACGAAGCAATTATGCAATACTTGAAAACCATACACTGTCCTACCTTGATCGAATACTCAGCAATATGTTTCCGCAAATGTGATATCTCGTCCTCGTGTTCCTGTATCTGAACAACAAGGCCACACCCAAAACTCATTGATGAAAAGACAGAACAAAAAAATGGATCATATGCGAATGTACCATTAGTCCATTAAATTGAACTTCTAAAAAATGGCACCATTTAATTGTAAAATGATACCTGTTTCAAAAGGCTGCTAGGATTATTTACTTCAGCCACTGACATCCCACCATGTCCTGATATATTAAACTGTGGATCATATTCTCCTTCCATTTGATACCTAACAGAAAATGTAAATTGTCATTTGTGCTTGCATGTGCCAATCATTAAGATTGTTTAAATAAACTCTAATTTTCAGTCCAAATTATCTGTGTGGCATTCACTTGTATCTTGATGTCAAATACCTGCTAGGAGAAAAGGATGTTGTAGATGGTGGAGAAAACTGAGAGAAGCCCACGTTATCTAATGCTGCCTGACCACCAGGAACCACTTTCAGCGTTCCATTGATCTTGCTGCTCTCAGACCGCCTTTCTGCACGAGTTTGCATAGTAGGGTCCTCAGCATTTTGCATTTCCTTTTGGAGAACTATTGTATTAGATGGATCATGAGCAGAAGTGTTGTCTGTTCTTCTAATCACATCTGTTTCATTCACCAAAGCAGAAACAGATTGCTCCGCCAATTGAGATCCACGAACACAATCATCCAAGTGATCAACCAAATGAGGACTTCGACCCTTTGCCTCATGTGATTTCTGCCAGGAAGAGTGGATACTAAATTTTGTATAACAAAGGAAGATTGTGTATTCAAATTTACACTAAGTTTCCTAAAAGATGCATGGTGCAGGGAGGCAAGAACCTTGATTGTGTACCATCTTTCACTAAATTAATAATATGTAAAATTGCAAAGCTCGTCAAGTACTAATTTTAGACAACTTAATGTCAATTTTTCTTTTCTTTTTTTTTATTGGAAACGGTAAAATTTATTAATAACAAATATAAGAATACATGTTAGGACAAGGAGTCCTCAAAGGAGAAAGAAAATGAAAATAAAGAAAAGGAAAAAAACTATTGGGCTAACTTAGAATATAAATATATCATTGCATCATCAACAATTGGCACACACTTGAGTCCAATAATCCATAATCAACAAGAATGGAATGCATTCAAAGTCTTTAGACGTGATAACCCAAACAGAAGCTATGAGAGTGACTTTATCACATAACTTTGACCAAGAATCTTTATCTCCATAAAGGCATAAATTTTTGAGATATCTTTTCAACCACACCACCCAAAACAATGCTACAACCAAATAATTCTATAAAATCTGAGATTTGTTACTTGAACCAAAGCCATCAAATGAATCTCAACAATTCACACACAAGTTTTAGGACATAGCCAAGGGAAACCAACCATACCCGAAAGCATGTTCCACAACTTACTGACAGAACAATGAAAAAATAGGTGATCCATACATTCTTCCTCAAACTTGCATAGAATGTATCATTGCTGCTTAAGAGAAGAGGATGGTTGTTTCTAGAGAAAATCACTGGTCTTGAGTTTCTTATGACAAAGGAGCAATCATACCCAAAAGCATATTCCACAACTTATTGGCAAAAAGGTGATCCATACATTCTTCTCCACACTTGCATAGAATGCACCATTGCGGCTTAAGAGAAGAGGACGGCCTTCTTTTCTGAACCAAATTATTGGTGTTGAGTTTCTTATGCGCAAGCAACCAAACAAAAACTTGAAGCTTTAAGGGAGCCTTGGAATTACATATAAAAGATGGTTGGAAGATTGGTAAGAGTTTAAGCATCAAACCCAAAATCAATTGGCAAAGAGTGAAAAAGCCCTTTCATTACATAAACCAACCTTAGGTGGGTCCTAATCATTCAATATGATATACAAGCTCTCTTTACACCCTCCCTCATGAGGGACCTGGGCTCCCACGTAGGGAAACCAAACAAGGGAAAGTCAAATGAGTAAGAAACTTGGTCCACTGACCACTCAAGACCCAACTCTTATACAATGTTAAAACATCCAACCTAAAATTAATTGGCAAAGAGTGGAGAGGCCCTTCAACTATATAAACCAACTTTAGGTGGTCCTAATCATTCGATTTGGGATACAATCTCTCTTTACAATAAGCAAGTTGTATAAATAAGGACTCAAAAGGAGAATTACAAGACAACTCCCCCGTGGAAGAAATTACGCACCTTTTTTCTTATCCAAAGAAAAAGGATCCAATACTACATTATCTAAAATACCCAAAAGCAAAGGCATTTCACAAATTTCTCCATCATTCAAGTTCCTAAAGAAATTAAAATCCAACTCTTTGTAGAAGGAAAGGATGAGGTCATACTTTAAATATGAGTTAGGAGTTCAAGACAATCAATATAAATGCGGGAACATAGTACCAAAGGATGAGAACCCCCACCCCCCAAAAAAAAAAAAAAAATCCTCCCAAGAGTGAATTATCCCCCCATTACCAACGGAACACTTGATAAAGTTAGCAAAATTAGATAACCCTAAACTGTTAAATTTAGAGAGTTAACACAATATTAAAGAAAGACAAAGAGTGGTCAAAACTTAACCTACCTCTCACAAACTATTTGTATTTATAGTTAATTGTCGATGAGGAAACAAGAGATAGGATAGACACCATTAAGAATACAGAAAGGCATACAATTGATTGAGACGTATATCGTTTTGACAGTGGCGCCTTGAAAGGATTTTGGTAAGCATCAAAGTTCTAGCAACTTCAACAAGGTTCCTATAACCCATATTGGGCTAACTCGGTCTATATATTAGCTCACAAAGGCCACACTTACATAATACCCCAAACTCTTAACCTCAACAAATATCTTGGACTAGATTAAAAATTTGAAGTTGTATTAGATCCTTAATTTATAGATCAAACTTGGATGATAAAAGAACTACAACAAAAAGTTTGCAATAAGACCACCCACTCAACCCAAATCTCCTTCCTTCCATTTTTCAATTACAAGAGGAATAAAGGAGAAGAGAGAGTTAAACATTTTTTAGTTTGTTTCACACTCGAACTCAAGAAAGTTTTGTTTTAAACCCTTTAAGTTGATCACACCAAAAACACATTGCCAACAATCCATGTACAGGCCATAGATCATCATGTCATTCTCGATGCACAGATTGATGTCTTTATAGGCTACCCCACTGTATGTGTTATTCCATTCAACTACAGTAAAACACTTTTTCTATAGGTGCTTTATCCATCATATATTTTGCACAGTTACTGAATTCTTCTCTATCTTTTCCAAAGTGAATAACAACCTTCCACTGTCAAAGGTATTACTTTCCATAACTTTCAAATCTAGTGGTTTCTCTACACATTCTACATCAGATCCAGCATAATCCACATCTAATCAGGAAAACAAACCAGAGCTACTAGGTCCATATCAGAAACCCAAACAACAGAAAAGTTATATTGCTGCTTATCCTACCAATAAAAAATATTCTTGCAAGCATTATAGCCAACTTTATGATTGAGATATTCAGCACGAGAAACTGATTAAAATATTCCTCGTTTGTCAACAATATAATGTCATAAGAAATTAGTAAACCAACAGGCACATACACATCACAATAGGCATAAAAGGTACCAAAAGATGCATGTCTATGACTACTATGAATTCTCAAATGAAAAAGGTATGTAAATAATGTGTCTATAGGAAAGAGCAGGAAGAACGTGATAAAAACTTGTTATGGTAACCATGAAATAACCAGAATTAGGAGTCTAGATTCCTACTAAAATGGAACCCAAATAAAACAAAAATTATAGTCATTGCAAGCACCCACGTATTTTTCAAGTTCCAAAATTGTTCTCTCGAGCTCGGACCTCAATCGATTGTTCTCTTCCACCTGTGAATGGAGAAACAAGATAGAAAGAATCAGCAACTTAGGTGTCATTTGATTAAACTAAAAATTAAGAACCGAATACTGAATTTTAAGTGCTAACTACTAAATTTTTTAATATGAAACTATTTGGTACGTACTAAAAGTTAAGCATTAAATTAATTTGAACAGTTTGCTCAGTCCAAGGAACGGAAGTTTGAATACTATTACTTTTCTAATTTTGCCTTTTCCTCCACCCTTCCACTACCACTATCCCATGACTACTACCATCTCACAACCGCCACCATCAACACGACCACAAACCACCACCGCCACCACCTTTTGCATCCCCCCATGGTGAGGCATATAGGTGGTCACATTGGGTAATGGTGGCGGTGGAGGCAATAAAGTGGCACGACAGTGATGTGGTGGTAGTGGGACATGATGGTTGTAGGTGAAGAGGTGATGTAGGTGGAGTGGTGATGATGGTGGACTGGGGTGGCAACGATGGGGTGGTGGGGGCAAGTGGTGGTGACAAAAGGTGGAGGAGGTAGTGGTGGTGGTGGGGGTGGTGATGATGGAGGTAATGGTGTGACGATGGCGGCAAGGTGGGTGGTGGCGGTGGTAAGGATGGGTTAAGGTGGGTGTTGTGATGGTGTGGTAGGTTGGTACCGACAATGGTGGTTGGGTGGCGGTGGTAGCAGTGGGGTGATGGTGGTGATAATGGGATGGTAAGGGTGGTGGGAGTTGGGAATAGCAATGTTGGTGGTGGGAGTTGGGAATAGCAATGTTGGTGGTGGTGGAGGCGGTGGTGGCGATTGGGGTTGGTGGCGGTGGTGTTGGTGGTGGCAATGGTTGTGAAGAAGAGGTGGTGATAGTGGTGGTGGCAAGGTGGCAAAAGCGATGGTCATGGCCGCGACGATTGTGGAAAGATGGGTATAAGATGGATTGAAATCAAAATTTTGGAGGGCAAATTTGTCCATCATGAAAAATTTATAAAAAGTCTTATTCATTAACAATTCAACATTAAGTGATAAATAGGTAAGTTAGCTACTTAAATTTTTAGCATATTTTGAAGAAGTGCTTAAATTTTTAAGTGAGAAGTTTTTATTCAAACACGCTTAATTAAAAAAGTGTGTAAAGTCTTTAGTTTTAAGTGTTGAATTGGGTTATCAAACACCACCTTAACAACATATCATAAACCATTATAAATACTATAAGTACGAGTGATCGGCTTAGAATGATCTGATTACTATCGCAGCATATTTTTTTAGTGATCAGAAGGAAATACTATCTCTATCATATGTTTAAATATAATAGAGTCAATTTTGTTTTGTATCTTATTTGATGAGTTGATAGATGTATTGGGACAATTAATTTTGATTTGTTTTTTATCGAGAAATTAATATAAAACTATTAAATCTATCATAACTTGAAGCAGTTACCAAACGTATTTTCTGTTTTAATTTTTTTTAACTTTTTACCTCAGAAAAGAATAAATAAAAATTGTTTCGGTGTTTTTTTTTTTTTTGAAAACAGAAAGCTGATGTTGTTACTTGCTACCAAATGCACCCTAAGTAATTCAACTCATTTATCTAATATATACCTCCATCAACGCATGAAGACACTACAACATAAGGCAAAATAGAGAATAAAGTGAATAAAAATTCATTCAAATAAGATATAGAAAATATTTAATAAACATGATGATAAATAAATAATACCAATATCTATATACAATAATGAAGAAACAACTATTACTTACATAGATCATTCTCATAAAGCTCATCTTTTTTGTAACAAATGATCCGTGATAAACGTAGGGTTTTAACATGAGAGAGACAGAAACGGCAAGAGAGATAGAGCGAGAGGGGAGAGGAAAATGGTGCATAGACAAAAATCTACCCTACTCCTTCATAAACTTGCATATATACAATGCAGGGTATAACAATAAGCCATCTACCACCTACAATAATACTAATATTACTCACCAACATTCCCGCTCAAGGTGGACTAAATATATCAATGGTCCCAGCTTGGAACTAACAGTATGAATTTTATCTCTAAAGCTTTTACATTTGATACTCAGATCATACAAAAGGCATAGTAATCCCCTTAAGTTGGAGCTGATATGGATCATAAAGGGATGGTGTCGACATAATGAAAGATTGGGATGTTAGGAAATCGTGAGGTCACTTTGTATATATATCTCAACTAAATCCATGGTAAGATGCTTACGAAGATTGAAGAACACAGTAAAATGTGGTAAAGAAGCTCGAGCTATATTGCGGCGTGAAAATGGCTCCTTGGATCCCATCAAGCTTAGGAGAGGTAAAAAAAACCTAGATATCTAGTTGCCTTAGATTGGTTTAACTTAGATTGGTAAAAAGGATTTAAAGTGTGTACTTCATTCATATCATGACTATTGTATATTTTGAGAAAACAATTCAGAAATTTTGAGGGTTTAATTTTTAAAACATGTTTTAAATGAGTCATCGTATGGTATCTTTTTAGGTACCAACACTTGGTACTTAGGAAGTTGAAAAAGAGCTTTGTTTTAGAGGGGTAACAAGTGAATAGCGCTCTCGGGAAGTTAGAAAATGGAAGCAAACCAATGTTCAGCACTCTCCAGATGTTGCTACAATGCTCAGGAGCTCCCCAGTTCAAGGTTGGCAAGTTTTCAAAACAGTGACCAGCACGCTCTTCACAACGCTCGAGTGCTACATGGCGGTCAAGATTTCTTGCATGCTAATTATCCTCTATTTTCCTATTCCTATAAATAGGGGACAAGTTCTCAGACTTTCTAAGGATTGTGCAAGAAACAAGAAAGGTCCTAGGGTCTAAGAGTGGCAACTAAAAAAAAAAAAAAAGAGAGGCAACTAAGACTTTGAAAAACCTACCCTAGCTCCAATCAAATCCAAATCCTTATATGAGCTACATATAATTCTTTAAAGAATTTGAGCAAGAATGTTCATAGATCTTGTAGACCACCAAAACCCAAAACACCAAGTTTCCAAGGAGGCTATCAAGGATCAAGGTAAGATTCGAAAGGAGAGGAATGAGGATTCTAAAGGGAGGATCATGGAGTTCGATTCATTAGTTATTGAAGCTAACCGTTAAGGGCTCGCAGTGGATTGCAGGAGTGAAAATTCAAGTGAGAAAGCATGTAACCATAGTATTGGTTGAGGTACAAGCTTTCAAAATGGTAATCAAAAATTGACACTAGTGGATTAGATTAAGTGGACTACAGTCCCATGATTTTTCCCCAAAGATTTCCACATAAAAATTGCTCGTGTTATATGTTGTGCGTGCTTTTAAGAACTTGAAATTTTTACTTCCTCCAAGTGTTTGATGAGTGCTTGAGTAAATCTAACTTTGTTGTTGGTCGTTTAATTGTTGAAATCAATTGGATTGCATTGGTGGAAGGAATTGGAGTGATAAAGCTGGTGGATTGTACGTGTTTGACATTAAATAAATTAGGGATTTTGCACATATTCACTAATTAGGTCATTGAGTCTAATCAGTGCGGGGTTAATTGCACTTAATGAATTGATTAAATTATAATTGATTGAAATATATTTAATTGGGCATAATTTCCGCCTTAGAGTACTTCAGACCTATTCACCCCCTTTATGTCAATTACGTATGTTTGAGTGTATCACGGTCGATCTCTAATTAACACTCCCAATTGGTATCAGAGTCAGATACCTCGAGTGTTTTCTACCTAGGCACTTTGTAGGTGTCCTTGAGACTTTTGACCTAGTTTCATGTGTTTGTTAAGATTTATCACAAGCCCCAAATTGTTTGTATGGATTCTCAAAGAGATGGAGGTTCGGTCATGAGACCACCACTATTCGATGAAACAAATAATGCATTTGGAAGGCTCATATGAGAGTTTTTCTCAAGTCCATATATGAACCTGTACAGGTAGGTTGAATCGCCCCCACTATGTCCAAGACTGTTAGCGTCGATACCACCACCACCAAAGCCAAAACCACAAAGCTCGTAGACAACGGACGACTTTGAGTTTATTGGGTGAAACTCAAAAGGTTTCAATGCCACCTCGGCAAATGAGTTTCAAAGGATCTCCACTGGTAAGACTTCTAAAAACGTATGACATTTTGGAGGTTTCCTACGAGGAACACAACTGTAGTAAAAAAGTCCAAGTTTCAAAGCTTAACTTCTCAATTTGAGACACTTAAGATGGAGAATACTGAGACTTTTAGTGATTTCGATACACGACTTAGTGATATAGTTAATTCATCCTTCACCCTAGGAATGAAATATAAGCATTTGGCCCTGCTTTGAAAAATATTGAGATATCTACCACAAAAGTTACAATCCAAGGTCATGACCATTGAAACAATTGTCGATGTCCAGAGTTTGAAGATAGAAGAACTAGTTGGGTCTCCTAACATATGAAATGAACCTTCGTCAACCCAAAAAAATTGTTTTACTTGTATTGAACATGGTCACTATTGCACGCATTGCAAGTATGCTAGGAAAGACTTGAACAATAAACTCCCTCATCTAGCTAATCAATCCAAGGCCTTAAATGACCAAGGGTACAATTTGACCAAGATGGTAAGATTGACTAGTGAGCCTTGGACTTTTCAATACATCACCTCCTAGAGGCTTACAAGCTAGGATCATGAAGAAACTCTCTTCTTGAAGATCAAAAGTATACTGGATTACCCCCGTAGAAAAAAGAGTAGCAGAAATTAGAAAACATGGAATGTTAAGCAAATCTAGGTAAAAAGTGAGGGTTTTGACAAACTCACCCCTTCAGGTATGTTTGGAAGCCCCCGGGACTACCAACGTGGTTGATATACCAAAGAATTAGGTGTGGTGAGAATGTGGTCATAAGGGCATACTCATGCATTGCATCTCACATACTTGTTATCTTTCATTTGTTTTTATATTATGGAAAACACAAAAAAGGATAAAAAAGAAAATGTCAAAAAGATTTTCTTTGCTGAATTTCTTTTTTTTAACATAAGTATCATGCTTAAACTGGAATTTTCCTA